AGTTTTTCTCCATTTCAATATCGGGGTTCTAAAAATAATCGAAATTAATTCTACAATTCTGCCATATCGACCATCGTAGGTTCAATTATCAAAGCGACAATCAATTTGTTTCACTGGTTTGAACACAGGAATCTTTTTAAACGTTTGAGGACACCATTCTGCCAGGTTAAATTTGACAGAGAACTACTGTGTCCCATTAGGATCACCGCGACACACACCTGACTCGAAACAACGAAAACTAAAAAAAAACAGTTGTGGAAAGTGAAAGTAACGAAACCACGACGGTAAAAATTCGGAAGAACGATGGCAAAAAGTAAAAAGTACGATGGTGAAAAGTCGAATTAACAAAATGTTGATGGTGAAAACTTGATATAATTTCGTGATTTAACCATCATACTTTTGACTTTTCTTTGTTTCGATATTTTAAATTTTGCGATCATCTTCCGCCTTTTCATGGTCATATTTTCGAAATTCACCATCCTCTGATTGTCTGCGCTACATGATCAAAACTTCAAATAATTAATTCATTTAGTTTTAGCCATGTAACACAATGTATTTGTTAACAAAAAAAGCAATGTCAATATATATATGATTTATTATATTGTTATCCATGTAAAATGCCAGAGTAGGTATCTATCAGTTTTACGTTTCTAAAATATTCTGGTCACTTTTGAAAACTGCAAATATTTGTAGGTGTTTTGGATGTCCCGGACTGAAAGTGGAATGTCTAACGGCAAACGAAAGATTCTCGAGAGACCGTCTGCCTTAGAATGGAACTTGCGGATTGAAAATACAATGTATGGCGATCAAGGTGTATACAAATGTATAATAAAACGATCAAATCCTGTTGAAACAACAATAGTTACTCTAACCGTACTGTGAGCCGAAACAACTTCCTTGTACTTAAGCTATAATACAGATTTCCTGTTTGAATGGTTTTGTTGTAGGTATATACATGCAGCTGCAGATGCATAGATACATGTATATTTGATAAATGTATCATCAAATAAAATGAAATTATTTCGATTACTTATTACTATAACATCACCAATGATACGTATTTTCTTTGTTTTATCTCAAATACAACTGTTAAATGTTTAAAATCGACTATACACTGTTATGTAATGACTACAAATACGAAAAGCGGTGATGATGATAAAGAACTAAATTGTCAGATGTTGTCATTGTCACTCTTGGTATGGCTGTATCCTGTGAAAGGTGCAAAACACTCGGCTATAAACTATTTGTACATGGCTATTAACTATGTGTAGCTACTTGCCTTTTCGTGAATATTGATTTTTTTATATTTTGTCAATTACATTATACAGAATATTGACCCCCGAAATGGCTGCCTTTTTAGCAAGAGAGGTAAATATTGTTAACAAAATCGGGAAGTCTCTTCAAGTGTAATAAAGATGTAGGGAATTGGCTAAAATGCACCCATTATGATAACCTGACAAATTTGAAAAGGTTTTTATCAGATAATGTCACCTCTTTCCAGATCGACTATAAATCCATATCATATATTTTATTCCTTTATTTGCTGACAAATATTAAAAATTCTAAATTGGTGAGTCTTGGTAATCCGAAGCAGTTGGTAAATAAATAACAAAAGACACAGACGCAATTGAAACAATTGTTACGAACAAGATAAAAAGTATCTTGTCAATTAATACGCTAATGTCCTGCCAAGTTATAATTTTCTTATCATTGTTCTCATGTTGTACAGTTTGTCTTTCCATGTTTATGTTAGAATCCACAGAATCTTCTGTTACCATCGATACTGACTTCTGAGATTTTTTTTTTTTCAAGTGCTTTTTGCTTTCTTCATTTTCAACTCTTTTGTACAGCCGTTTAAGCAATGAATTTATTTTGCTGTCAGTTCTGTGATACAGCCGAAGGTTTACAATAACAGTTACACATATAATAATACACGACATTGTCTGTAACATAACATAGCCACATATGAGAGCTATTGGGTCAGCCGTCCTCGGTATTTCATCAGATATAACTGTCACAAATATTGTGATGGACAGTAAAATGGTAATAGAAAATCCAATTCTCTCACCTGATGCACTTGGAAGAAGAAATACGAAAGGTGCCAGTAGATTCAATAGCGTCATAGGAACTATCAATGTTAAGACATAAAACGTTGGACGCCGTTTTAATTTCAAAAAGTAAATAACAAAACTGTTGTTGTGTATGACATAAATCTTGCCAAAAGATTCTTCGATAGTCCATTCTAGCATTTCAGCCTCAGACGTATCAATACCATTTCCAATGATACCAAACTGTAAGTCATTGACTTTATATTCAATTTGAGTAAAAGCTAGGTAACATATTTGCTTATCAAACGGCCAATATTTCAGGTGAAAAATACACCTATTTTTTACAATATTAGCTGGGGTCCACGTAGCTTGTCCAACATAACTGTATCTAACACGTTGCTCATTACTACCTACAACAGTATATTCCATACCTGTTGAAATTTGAATCGTAGGTGTCCAAATTGTGTTTTGATTAAGTAAAATATATTCCTTCCCACCATATTTAGACGGTGCCCAAGCAATCTTTTCATCAACCCATGAACACATTGTAGAAAAAGTTAAAGTTGTAAACCCTCTTACAAGATTAATTTCAGAGATAGAATGCACCGAAACAAATATGTTAACTTTTAGAAACTCCGACTGATTATGAAGTGGTATTACTTCCTTATAATAATCTGACATCATATCCTGTAAAAGTTGTCCTGCCTGCGAATATGTTTGTCCACGGACCGTTATAAATAATAAACATTTGAACAAAACTACAAATAAAACTATAAGTTTATGAATCATTATGGTTTGCTTGTTGCGTTATCATTTCACCTTATCACTGAAGTTTAACATACCTTTTAATTCACTAGAGTATCATTCGATCCATTTTTTGTGGTAATTCGGCATTGTTCTCATCGCATTTAAATATATTGGACGTTCTGGTCGTATTACTCGTTTTGTTCTGGTATCTTTATATAGAAGCTTTTAGCTGAACAATGACGTTTATCGAACCTATTCGAAAACATACTAGAGTAATTGTTTAATAAATGAGAGCCAACAAATACAAATAAGCATTTTATTAATTACAAAAGTAATATAGGACCCTGAAATTGACGACAAAACATACAGATATAAAATACAAAACAAACTTTAATGGACGCATTGATAGACGTACAATGGAAGTCATCAGTATCATTGATTTCGGAAATTATTGTTTGAAAATAAAAAAAACCCTATGCATGGCAATGCTTTCTAAAATACTTCTTTGTTCACGGCCGCCTTTCACAAAAAGTATTTCAGTGCAAAAAATTTTAGCTCTTCAAACTTTTGTTTTCCAACTCAAAATGATAAAAAATATTTGTGTAAAGACATCAAATCAGAGCAATCATGACTGACATAGATATCGAGAAAATATATTATTACCTAACCTTAAACTTTGTTGTGATGTTTTTTCCCTTAAACAAATGACAGTTCTTCTTGCAAGTGGTCAAAGTGACTTAACATTTTCTATTTTTACATAGGCAACAATACGTTTTAATAGAAAAAAAACTTGTAATGAAAATATTGTCTAGAAAACAAAATATCCGACACTGTTTTCCCGCTTCAGAGTCTAAGTTTTCGAAGTTCACAATGTACAGACAAATTCAGAGTGACAATGACACCATATGAGATTTTAGTTCTTTATAATCTATACTGATTTCCCCGTCTTTAACCTCGTTTGGTTAACTTGTGAAAATAAACACATGATTGCAAAAAATGGTGTCTGAGTGGATTTTTAATCAGGAAATCTTGTAGAAATTTATCAGCGAAGCTGATACAAAAAGTACCTTATGCATGGAACACAGATCTGAAACACTCTTCAGAAAGAGGGTATCGAAGTAAATTGTTCAAACAATAATGGTAAAACGCTTATACAGAATATTCTTGAACATCTGGATTTAGTATAGCTCATCAATCGTATAACAGGAGTGGGTGTTTTGATTTTTACATCAAATACATCTCTTTGTATATTTTGTAAAAAGTAGATAACATGGTAGAATAAAACAACATAGAATAAAAAAAGTAATTTCTCGAGTTCAAACAATACAAGGTTAGACTGAATAGTGTTAATGTTTGTTTGGTTTAGTTGTTGAGAATTCTGGAACGTTACAGATTACTTAGTTTAGTTTAATAATATTTTCTTGTATAAATATACACACAATATACAATTTCATAAATTTTTACAGACATAATCAAGTGTACATACAAAAGGGTTGGGCCAAAAGTTCTAACAACATTATCGTGGGCCCTTCCCTTTACAGTTTACTGTGGTATAATAGAATGAAAAACATCACGAGTAATAGAAGTTTTTAACAGCATTATGTTTTTTTTGTAATATTTCCCACAAACCTATAACTTTTAAACAATAAGCCTCGAAATGTCTGCGTCTTCGAAATCAATTGAATTGAATACGTACCCAAACATAGAATTACAGAAATCTGGAGTTAAAGACGAATGATTTCAAAAACGAGTTGAATGCGACATTCGGATCTGTCAGACAAACGATAAGTTGCATTTTTGTACTTTCTGCAATCCACTTTGTAGTTAGTAAACTGATATGGAATCTCTTTTCTATTTCCTTCGTAAAGCTTTACACTTTATAATAGAAGTAGTAGTAGAAATAATAATAATAATAATAATACCAATACAGCAGAACAACTTTAGATAAAAATGCATTTTACATTTGTGTCATACAATTACATGGAAAACTGGGACAGATATAACAACACTATCAGTGTCAGATTGAGAAGAGAAAACTCTGTTTTATGATCAAATAATAAGTAATCAGACCATAAGTATAGAGAATGAGTCATTCATCTAAAGGTTCGCACCATATTACACATCTGAAGGGTGACCTTTTATCAGAGATACGATAATGTTCCACAAATTGACTTGACATTATAAACTGCTTGCTTTACAAAAAACATGCACGATGTCCTGATACAAAATACGTTATTAGATATAATGTAACTTTACAAATCCTGTTACTAAAACGAAGAGTTTGGACATAAATATTCTATTGGCATTGATTCTATTTAGATATTAAACATTCTACATTTGTATAAAAAGATGGACAATATTTTGAAATTAATCATTTTCATCTTGGTCGTAAATCCTTGTGTTGCAGGTAAATATTTCTTATTATCATGCTTATTTTCTGTTCTTCCCTTCTTATTTTCTTAATTTTAAAACATCATTCATCAAGTGCTGATCTCTTAAAACAAATATGTTGTAGGACATTCAATTTAATTTCTAAATTTAAAAAAAAAGGAATCAATTGTTCAATTTTGAAGTTATGGACATGTAATTTGCATAGCTAGGTTAACAAGGATATTAACATATGTTCATATTACAGTAGCAGTTTCTTGAATTGATATCAATATTTATCATTATATTATTAGATAAATAAATAAAGAAATTATTTATACATCGAGTAACGGTGGTTGATCTGTATTCTGGTAGATTCAATATGTTTTACTGTCGTGATTCAGAGTAAATAATAACAGTACCACCATCATCACCACCACATCGAGTAACTCTTGCATTTTACTAATATGTAAAAATAATAAATTCTCAACAGTTTGCCTCGTTTTATATTTTTTCATATATTTATTTATATATATTTATCTCATTCAGATTTTTTATGTACATCCCGTTAGCAATCTTTAACTAATTGTTTACAAACGAGAAATGTTTTACTTTACATTTACTGTTTGGTCCTGAACGAAATTGTGTCAATAAATTAATAGCGTATCATAATATTTTTTGACACATGAAACATTTCATTATGTTTGCAATTACTGTAATTGTTTGCCTTTCATGTATGATATACATGTACCAAGTTCTAAGAAGAAAGAGTTACTAAATGTCAGCTTTAAGTTACTATGTTTGAAATTTTAACAGAGCAAGGATGTCAACCCGAGATGACAAGTCCATCTTCAAATGTTACAGTCATAGAAGGCGACACCGCAATCTTACCTTGTCCAATACAGAAACTGTGAGGTCACAGGGTAAAATAATTATAGTATTTTCAGTTTTACTCGTTAAAGAAGACCTTATTGGCCTCTCTTATCATTTTTACTATTATAAGTACAATCACTGATCTTTGGTAAGCTATCTAGGTTTCACAAATGATAGAACTAAATGCCCATTTCCTGATTTGAACTTATAAAGGAAGGACTAAAAGTTCCAAGTATCTCCAAGCATGTTTATCTGTGGTTTTATGGCTAAATGTCAAACATAATGTCATATGATTTTAGTCATTATAATTGATGCTATTCTTTTTGGAATGGCAAGCGGTTTGGTAGGAAATTGTTGCGCTTTGAAAACCACATTTTGGCCTTATGTATGCCTACTCACAGATATTTTCAAGCATTATATCTACAGACTTTGGTCGTTTTTTAAAATATTGTTGAAAGCCAAGGTAAATTTAAGAACTTTGATGTACAGTAATCGTGGTACCTGAGTCCTTACTCCAATAATGCCTAAAAAGTTCACGATATGTATGCACAGCATAATAAACGAATGCTCACATGTCATATGACGTCATATATGACATAAATAAACTAAATGGCGTAAGGAAAATTAATTCTACGCTCAATGTAGTTCAACATTTTTAAATAAATTCACTTTTTAATAAGCATGTTGGAAGGGAAATAGATATAATTTTTTCTTGCATTAAAGTATGTAATTATCATGATGGCTGATTTATGCCATTCGTGTTTTCGCCCCGAGACCCCGCCAAGCAAAAATTCGAGAATTAACACGTTAAAATGGTGGGGCGACATTCGAAAACACGGTTATTCGCGGGACGAAAACACGCTTATTAACGGGGGCGCGCGGCGAAGTTTTATTAATTAAACTTCGCCCCGCGCACTTGCTAGTAAGCGACTTTTCGCTCCGTGCCCCTCGCCATTTAATCTTTTTATTCTCGACTTTTCGCTTTGCGGGATCGCGGGGCGAAAACACGAATGACACAAATATGTCACTATAAATAAAGCACGTGCTTTGTAATTAATCACTCAGTCATATCGACTTTGGTGATTAAATTCCTGCGCATGATGCAAACATGTCGGTGTCCGTTAACGCGATAACATGACATAACTAAATGGCAGGAATCAGCAACCATTAAATACCCTCGACATCACGTTAATTGACTGATAAGTGAAACTACACATGCTTTACGATTAAAAATATTTTCTGTAGAATCAAAATTATTATTGATTATTGACCAATTTATAGTGTAATATGTACATTGCATATCAATACAGCTGTAAACATTAGTTTTAAATAATAACATAGCACGGAAATAGTATAAATGACATAACAAATCAGGCAGTAGGTTTACATGTTTACGGTAGAATCCACATAGGACTTCTTATATTAATCAAAGATATATCTATGAATGCTCAGTCAAATATCTAAAAAAAATGGATCATCTAATGTTGTACTTTGGTCAAATTATAAGAAATTGTTCCAGATTAAGATTTTTTTTTACTTACTTGAACGCATATATTTGGTGTACATATATCAAAAACATAAATATATTAACTTGGTAAATGTGACTTATTAATTTTACTTTTCTGGTAATTCTCGTAAATGTTTTTACTTCATAATTATCAGGTTGTTTGGACGGACCAGGACACTCGATGACCGTCGAATAATTGATGATGCTAGAATCAGTATCGAAAGACCATCTGCAGTAGATTGGAACTTGAGGATTGTAAACACAATGTCTTACGATGAAGGACAATATGCATGTTTGGTCAATACAAATCCTGTTCAGCAAACAACGGTTATCTTAACAGTACAACATACGAATTTATAAAGATAGTAATTCAACGGCAGAACAAATCTGGTGGTATTTTTGAAACAGATACAGAAACAACCCTGTACAAGACCGACTATGAGCAGAAACAATTGGTCTGTAAAGAAAATACTTCAAGATCAAACTTAATTTACAATGACAACACTGACATAACCACTGAATTATTGTTGAAACTTTTCCAAAGAGTATTACACGCCGCTTCTACACACAAAAAAACTGAGTAAACTATGTAAATCATTCCCTGTCTTATGCATATTATATATATTGACTGCTTCGTCAAAGAAACATTGTATTATAAAAGGAAACTATCAGTAATCCAGGTCATTTGTATCAAATAAATTAGATAATAATAAAAAATATGATAGCAGTACTCGGTTTAAATATTGTATTTGTTTTTTTTAGTTATATTCAAAATTCAGTCATGGCATATAGCTGCTATACGATGCTGTTCCAACTTTGTGTAATCAATAGACACTTTCAATAAAATTCGAATTAAAGTTCTCACCCGTTGATGACGTCATTGATGATACGGCGACCGATATGAGACTGATAGAATCTATCACTGGGTTAGAGATAGGATAGGTAAATCCGATCTTTAGGGTGATTGTTTCCAATGGGAACAGGCCTTATAACAAAAGTGAATAGATTCCACAATTCCAGCGTTTATTTGAACCGTTATGGAAAGTTTAAAATAACAAGTTTCATTGTATAAACAGTTAATCTTACTGTTTCACTTTAAAAAGAGTCATTGCTTTTATCATCCAAAGACTGCTGAAGGCGAACAAGTAAAATTTTTTTATGAGATTTATCAATAAGATGTATAAAATGGTCACAACGGTGTTTAAATACCAGTATTTTCATACAAAATAATAAAGGCAAAAATTATTTTGAAGTTTTGCATTATATGAGTATTTATCAAAAACAACTTTTATTTTTAGTGTTAGGTACTAATTTAGGTATAGAATTAACGCATATAAATGCATCAGAAATGTTTAATATTTCTATACTGTTATAATTACAAAAAGGGGAACTATGCTGATCTTTGTTACATATACATTATATTCGGTTTTCAATCAAAGTTATACAAAACAGATATCCATTTATAATGAAATTCACAAATTACTTTTATGAACATGAAATAAATTTGAATGAAGCACAATGCCCTTTCTGTTTTTACTTTTAAAAACTAAGTTCCTGTCGTATTTGTTAGATTATCAACAGTAAAAACCCTCAATAAAGATCATCATCATGACTAGACAAAAGTAGTCTTAATTGCGGTGTGGTCTTAGTTGTGGGTATTCTTACCATTGCTTATATGCTTTATGACCATAGTCTATTTTAGTCATTTTTGTATGAACAAACAATATTATCTTAACCTACAAAAACAACATAAAAGTTATAATATTTAATTTGATGAGAGCAAAACATATTTCTGAAGAAACTTAATATTAAATACTTTTGGTCTGATTTCAATATTAATCATTGTATGATGTATGTAATTTATATATTATAAGAGAAAGCAACATAGAACCCCAGTGACTCTAAAATTGACCTAGTATTACCTTATTTCATAAAATAACCCAGTATTAACAGTTTTTGACTCCTTGTGAAATCAAGTGTCGTGCTTATGAGTATTCAACAGATAAACTAATTTGTTTACTAGGTATATGTTGACTTTAACATGGTCTCAATGGTTGGTTCAAATAAAGTATAGAACAACGAATTGGAACTGAGTCTGGTGGTCTTAAAAGTGGATAAACGGGGTTGTCATAATTCTGATTCATGAAACCATTTATATAAAGAACTTAAAATTCCGTTCTTTTACAATCATGCTCTTAACAGCGGGATGGTCTTAATTCCGTGGTGGTCTTAAGGAGGGATATATACATATATAAACATACAATTGCAATAACCTATGTTTATCTGTTTTGTTTTCCCATAACAGTTTAATGTAACAATTGTTAATTGGTAGTTAAAAAGACGGGTTTGTATTCTTCATAAATAATATTTTTACAATATATTTAGTTTATAACAATCCATTGATTTTGCCTTAAAAGCAAAATACAAAGTTAACACACATTTTTATTTTTAGACAACAAATCATAACCAACAAGAAATGCGTGTATATTAAAAATAGCTATGAAATCCCGGTTATCTTTAACAGTCATGCGTATCAGCCAATAACATGAGATATTTTCAAGTTACATAATCAAACATATTTTAGTTATAGCTGGGTTATCAGTGTACAACAATGCATAAACAAAATAATACTTGGAATGCTTTGAAACAAGGTAGTCAGATTTGGGTTTGATTATAATTATGGCATACTTGTTCATTATTTTGTTTGTGGGAAGTGTGCGACTTAACTTGTGACCACCATACTCATGTGCAGTGTAAAATAAATTGATTCGTCGTAAAGATTACGTTAAGGTTAGTCAGAATATTTCTCACGTTGTTAAACAGGTAATCCGGCAGCATGTATGGGTATGCTTTCCTTTTCTGCCTGCGGCTGTTTAATTTCAACTTGAATGCCCGTGTGAAATACACAGGGATGAACTGAATAAAAGTAGGATTTTCATTGATCATTGTCCACAGATCACGCTGCCAAGAGCTGACCCGAATGCTCACAATGCGCTATCGTCAAAATATTCAAATGACCTACGAAGCAAGTAAAATAATTAGCCAGTACTTGTAGTTAAACATTAAATATTCTTCAGTGTGAAATTGACTAAGCTCTTCGAAATGTTTATTGAGTCGGCAACATATAATCGATTTGTCACCAGCGCAAGTGGAAAAATTATAATAGCGAATTTGCAGAACATCATATTATTGAAAAGATGAAAAATAAATGACCACGCGAATAAACGTTTTACCAAAAATAAAAAATATTCCACATTATGAGCTAAACAACAGTTTTAAAGTTCAATCATAGATTCAGGGTCAAAATCCAAACAAATTTCTAAAATAGCGTAAGGAAATTTAATATTTTTATGTTAAACCTAATTTATGTTATGCCTAATTTCTTATTGATCCTTGATAATAAATAACAATCCACCGGCTTAAAACCAACACAAAACTGACTTAAAAGTGACACAAAGCATTTAAACTAGAATGACCACGACTGAGTATCTTTTTTAAAGGTACTTCTTGTTGGTATTTCCTACTAAATTTCCTGTCGCCCATTTTAAATAATGTGACCGATATTTGCACTCCTGATAAAAATCAAATACATTCCCCATTAGGAAAAAGGTGTCTAGTGAGATTTGTTCATAACATGGAGGCCAGTTTTCTTTGACGATGATCATAAATTCTTTGCAGGCGAGTAAAAATGCAGATATGTAATAAAGTGAGTGAATACTTTCACAGTATAACAGTATGTTCTGATTTCCAAATCGATATATCTATTGTTGCTTATTTTGTTCAATTGGAATAGAAGTATTTGTTATTTTTGTAAATTCGAAAGTCTTGTTTCTTTTATGTATCAGTTTTTAGCTCAACTGAGCTAGCTCAGGGTGAGCTTTTAGTATCGTTGAATGTCCGTCGTCTGTCGTTCGTCGTCCGTCCACACTTGTTCGTTAACACTCTAGCGGTCACACTTTTGCCTCAGTCATCATCAAACTTTGTCAGAATGCTTGTCTTGGTAATAGCTCGAATGAGTTCGAACTTGGGTCATCTCGGATGAAAAACTAGGTCACAGAAGCTAAAATTAGAGAAACATTGTTAACACTCTAGTGATCACATTTTTGACTCAAATTATCATCAAACTTGGCGAGGATGCTTGTCTAGGTAATTGCTCGGATGAGTTTGAACATGGGTCATCTCGAATGAAAAGCTAGGTCACAGGAACTAAAAATAGAACAATGTTGTTAACACTGTAGTGGCTAGTGTTTTGATCCAAATATCCTACATATTGGTCTGAAAGTTTGTTTTAATGATTTCTAGGTCAAGTTTGAATAAAGAACACCTGGGATCAAAAACTAGGTCACACCGTTCAAAATTTGAAAAACTTTCTTACCTCTTTAATGGTTACATATTTTACTCAATTGTCATAAATCTTGGTCAGGGTGCTTGTCTAGGTAATTGCTTGGATCATGGATTAACTTTGAACATAGGTCTCCTCTGATGAAAAACTAGGTGACAGGAGCTAAAAATAGAAAAATCTTGTTATCACTCAAGTGGCTACTGTTTTGATCCAAATATCCTTGAAATTTTGTCAGAAAGTTTGTTTTGATGCTTTCTAGGTCGAAAATGGGTCACATGGGGTTAAAAACTAGGTCACACTGTATCTCCTGTATCTCATTTTTATGATATTATATCATATATCATAAATCTGAAGCTCAAATGAAGATTTATCAATATTGTAAGTTCAAAAAAGAATCATTTGCAAAGATGTTACCAAATTTATTTTACATGTAAATAAAGGGAGGTAATTAGAAATCCATTTTCGATAAAATCTAAGCCAATTTTTTCAATAAGAAATGAATGCACTGATTTCAACTGCAAAAATACATTTAGGAAAAACATGACAGTTTTTTATTGTCAATCACTGTAAATAGCAGAACTAAATGTAGATGATATCATTTCTAAAAATAAGCATACCAAAAATTGAGCAAATATCCATGATTAATATTTGACAGTATATAAATATCTGTATTGCATGTTTTGTTATCTGTTTTTTTGACCTGATTTCATACCACTGCATGTTATGTACACATAATGATAAAACGTAACCTGTTTGATATACGCCGGGTCTTTCAAATAAAAATCTATTTGAAAGACCCTGATATACATTATCTGTTTATATCAGTATCTAGAAAGAGAAGTATTAAGACCAAAGGATAGTAATGGTGGTTGGCGTTGCGTTGTCGATAGCAACAACGCAACCTATATCGTTATCGCCTTTTCGTCTTGTCGCTAGCGACAACACAACAAAGCGCCAAACGGCGCGTTGTCGCCTTGTCTCTAGCGAAGCACGCCAAACGACGCGTTGTCGTGCGGCGTGTTGTCGCGATAAAGCCCTGTCACTTGGCTTATAAGCCAATCCTTCGATTTGAACTGAATGACAATGTGACATCGCGACAACACGCCGCACGACAACGCGCCGTTTGGCGTACATCGTTAGCGACAAGACGAAAGTCCGATAACGCGCCGTTTGGCGCTTTGTCCTGTTGTAACACGACACACAAAAGCGTTCCAAATCAGGCACCATAGATAGTTGCCCATGTAGGTGCAGTAGAAGCAATTATTTTTTATACCATCATCTTAGTTTGGACAGTGCTTTAAATTTTTTAAAGTCGCCACCGTTAATCCAACATGAGTTTTCTTCTAGGAAAAGATTATCGTTTATTGTGATAAATATATAGTTGCCTACTTAA